TGAAGGTTTCCAGTCTGTTGTGCACCGTTTTGGCTTCCGTATTTGTTGACGTGTATTAGTTAACCCTAGAGTCGATTAATTACTTTTTAATATCTTTTGTGCCATCCTGATCACGTTCGGATGTTGCTCGCTCCCACATGGCTTGGTTTTCATCTGTGAAACGCTGGGAGGTACAATATAAGTAACAACTTTAGGAGCTGAGTATGTTTAGCATAGTGAAGAGAAGACTGGAAGGTACCATGGTAGCCACATTTAAATATCTGAAGGAACGCCCTGGAGAAGATGGAGCGAACGCGTTTTATGCTGCTCCAGGAACTAGAAGACAGAGCCATGAATTCAAATTACAGTGGTCCCCCCACATTCATTGGGATTCTCAGTGAAGGATCCCTGTAAATGTGGAAAAATCACAAATAAGAAAACACGATCCTTTTGACCTGAGAGGACACCTCTCTAGGAATCTCCAGGTCCTCCAGTGCAACTCTGAGGTCGATATCTGCCAGATATTGATCATAAAATCATGCTGGAGGAACTACAAATGCCTAGAGAAGAGTTTTCTCTAGGAATATCTAAGTTCTCCAGCACAACTCTTATGATCCACTTCTGGCAGAGTTGTGCTGGAGGACCTAGAGAGAACATATTAATCAAAGCCACAAATAATCAAATCCGCAAAAGTCAAATCCGCAAATGTGGAGGACCGAGTGTACAAGAAAAGAGATTCCACCTAAACGTTAGGAAAAACATCTTGACTATAAGAGCCATTTGACAGTGGAATAAACTGCCTTGGAGGGTGGTGGACATTCCCTCTTTGGGGATCTTTAAACAAAGGTTGGATGGACATTGGACATCTCTCAGGAGCGCTTTAGTTGGGTCTTCCTGCATGACAGAAGAGTGTTGGATTAGATGACCTTTGGGGGACCCTTCCAATTTTGTGATTCTAGGATATAATGCAGTGTTTGCTTCAGGAGCACCAAATACATTCCAGCCAAAGACCTCTCCTTTGCTTGCAGAAAAACACATGAGGAAAGATTTGAACTGGCATTTGTTTTGTTTTTGGGAAGGGGGAGATTTTTAAATCATCCTCTTGCTTTGGGGAGAGCTGAGCCCAGTGCTTGCAATCTGTCCCATCACCTTCGTCCCTCCTTAGGTACAACGTAACCTATCTGCCCCTAGCCTCCTTTTGGAAAAGTCCTAATCGTCTGCCAGCATCCCTCGGAAACTTGAGTATATCGGATCAGTAACAGGCTCTCAAAAATAGATCGGGAGTGAGCGTCCCAGCCTCCTGGCTCCCTAATATGGTCTCCACACTTAATTATTTATTTAATTCATCAAGAATTTTCATTGCAACAATATAGCAAAAATATTCTCAATCTCAGTCTAACAATAAAATAAACCATAATGATTTATTGGTTTATTGGTTTAATGATAATAACAATATAACAATAATAAAATAACAATTATAGCAATATTTCTGTTGCTGTGTGCCTTCAATGCAGAGCTACATAGCAAAAAAACTTCCCAGGCTTTTGACTATTGATTAGAAAGAACTAAGTATACGAATAAATGTTGTTGTTGTTGTTGTTGTGTGCCTTCAAGTTGTGCCCATCATAGGGAGACTCTAAGATGAAGCTATCATGGGGTTTCCTTGGCAGATTTGTTCACACTGAGGCTGAGAGAGTGTGACTTGCCCAAGGTCACCCAGTCGGTTTCCATGGCTGAGCTGAGATTCGAACTCTGGTCTCCAGAGTCTTAGTCCGACGCTCAAACCACTGCACCACACTGGCTCTGAATAAACTTTACCATTGCTTAAATGGGAAGCCTAGACATTTTTATCTGAGCAGACATTTGATATAAAAATCATCTCAGGGTGGTTTTTATGCAGCAGGCAGGTTTTGGTTATGCTTTGAACTTTTGTATATGTTAATGTGATTTTATATTGTTCATCGATTATTTTAATTGTCTTGAATTTAATTGAAATTTTTCATGTTCAGCAATGGAACGAATGTCCAGGAGAAGTGGTGGGGTCTCCTTCTGTGGAGGTCTTCAGAAAGTTGGAGTTGCCCCGAGTGGGAGGTTGGGAGTATTGGAAGTTGTCGAGTCCATTTTTGAAAATAGGACACAACAATTCATTCAACTCATTCAAACCCAGGGAGACATTTGGAATGAGGAGGATTCTTGGATAATCCCTACAAACAGGTGTGACCTGGGTTCCAGTTCTGCGTGAGGACCCTTGGAAGAACTTTAGACATGGAAATGTTCCTGAAGGTCATTTAGTTCAATCCAGTTTCTCAGGGCAAGATCTGCATTGCCTTCCTCTGAGGCTGTTGTTGGATGAGGACTCTGACAAAGAGCTGGATTCGAATCCTGGTTTGCCAGAGTCCTCATCCAACACTCAAACCACAACACCACACTGGCTCCAGCCTTCTAACTGTTACCATTTTATTATTCCACACTCCTTTAGGATTTGGATGTGGGTCAAATGAAACAGGCACCAGTATTGAGCAGAGTTGTCTCTTTCTTACCGGCAGGCGGTGATGGGCATCCAACTGGTGGTCTCCCTTCTTGTTGCCAGCATCATGCAGAAGATGGCTCCTCACTGGTCCTTTGCCCGATGGCTTCTCTGCAATGGAAGGTATT